GTGTTCCTCCAGCAGGGTGTTCCTCCAGCAGGGTGTTCCTCCAGCAGGGTGTGTTCCTCCAGCAGGGTGTTCCTCACCGGAGCTGAGATTCTTTTTCACTGTCTGGGTCAGCGTTTACCCCCACTTTGCCTTCCACACACCTTCTGTCATTCACAAACACCATGGGGTCAGTCCTGTATGCAGGTCCCAGGGCCACCACAACAAAACTGGGGGACTTGAAACAGCGGGAATGCGGGAATACCTTCCCTCCAAGCTCCAGAGCCCAGGAGACTGAGACCAAGGCATCCTGAGCCATGCTCCTTCCATCCGGGCTCCAGGGGAGACCCTCCTGCCTCTGCCTCCTCCAGGGGCTCTCAGCGGCCCTGGGCTGCGACCCCATCACTCCCTTCTCTGCCTCTGCTGTCACCTAACTTTTCCCCATCTGTCTGTGTCTGAATTTCCCTTTTCTAATAAGGATGTCATTCATCAAATTCTGAACACACACCTCCTGAGGTGGTCTTGTCTTAGCTAACTGTGCCTTGTAAACAAGGTTGCAGTCAACACCGGCAGGGCTTTGGAAGGGGCGAAGTCGCTTTTCCACCTAAGGCCACACTTCAGAAGTCACTGATTGCAAGTCATCAGTCAGTCCGTCTACACCATTTTGCGTGCATCATAAATCTCGCAGGTTGAGAGGAACCTAGAGCGCTGAGGGAACCACGCTGAACCTGCCTGGGTCGCCATGCACACACCGCAGAGCCCAGGACTCTATTTCCCATGGAAACAAATCCCCCACGCTGCCTTACCTTCCTGAAACCCTATCTGCCCCTCCGCGGGCACTGGGAAGTGCTTCTTTACCGTCCGAACCACGTCTGGGGTGTCAAACACGATGACCTTCGCGTCAGGATACAGGGAGGTGCATTCCCCGGCCAGAGCCCCGGAGCCACCTGGAATTGGACAGATTGGGCAGGGTGAGCTGCCCCTCGCTCTGTGTGTGGGGTCTGGGCTGCAGCCAACGAACATGGGAAAGCCTGCCTGCCTGCCGTGGACCTTGGCAACCAAGAACCGATCGGACACAGAGTCCCACATTCCTACCCTTCAGGAAAGCAGTGAAGGACACATTCTTCGGATGGCTTGGGGACCCGGCACAGCCCATATATAACTTACCAAGGATGCTCATCAAAAGGGCAGACGTCCCTCTCAAACGCCTCAGCATCAGAGGCAGAGGGTCCTACTGTGAGGGGAACCCAGAAACTTTGCCTGTTCCTGCTTGACTTGCATGCTCCACCCAGGCAACACGACAAGCACAGTATTGATTTAGCCCATTCTTTGCTACAATCACGAGATGCCCAAGGCTCAGTACTTATAAAGAGAAGGTGTGCATTTAGCTCACTAGTCTGGATACACAAAGGCAACCTCTGGAGATGTTTCCTTACATGCAGAGTCTATTCCTCTTCTAGGTGTCTTCACTAAAGAGTTAAAAGACATCATATTACTGCTGTCCATGCACACCATGTTTATAGCAGCATGACTCATAATAGCTAAATCTATTGGAAAGCAGCCTCTATGTCCATTAGCAGATGAATGTATAAAATAAATGTGGTGTTACACACAGTGGAGTACTACTCTGTCATGAAGAAGGATAAACTCGAGTCATGTGTAGGAAAATGGATGCACCTCGAGAGCATAACTTTAAGTGAAAAAAACAGACGCATGAGCTTCAATATCACATGGTTTCTCTTACATGAGAAACATATATGTATAAATAAAGAGCAAAATAAAAGATAATAGGAAGTAGGAAGATAGTTCTTTCTCAAACAGGAAGGGGACTGAGAGAAGAAGGGACGGGAAGGGGGTGAAGGAAAGAATCAAGATGTGTTCTTTCCATGAACCAACTGCCCACAAGAAATGTAAACAATATGTACAGCAAAGATGGACTCTGCTCCTTCTCACCATGTTGGTGCTGCCTCGAAGCCAGCTGACCATGGACTGACCCCTCTATAACCTGTGAGCCAAAATAAACCTCTCCTTCTGCACATTGTTGGTGTCAGCTTTGTGTCTCAGCAATAAGAAAGTGACCGAGATGGGAAGATCCGCTTCCAGTTGGGAGTTCACAGAAAGCAAACATCCCCACAAGAAAATGAGAGGGTGGGTTATCTTCAATTACGTGTTGACTTCTTTGCATTGGGTTTTTTGGGAACAGGTTTAGGGTCTTGTAAGCGGCAGCCCTATGAGAGTTGGAGGTCCTAAAGGATTGAACTTACCTGTAGATGGCTGTGAAAAGGTCATGAGAGGGAATGCCGAATGCCTTCTCGTACTGATTCTTCCCTTCTCTGAGAAAAAGAGGAAAAGTTCTTCCTCAAGAATTTAGGCATGTAATTCCAGGTGTGGTGGTGCATGCCTGTAATCTATATATCTATCATCCATCTCTTCATCCATCCTGTCTCTCTCTCTCTCTCTCTCTCTCTCTCTCTCTCTCTCTCTCTCTCTCCCTCCTCCCTCCCTCTCTCAGTGGTTTCTGACTAGGTGAAAATTTTGTCACCCTTCCCTGTCCCAGGGGACACTTGACAATTTTTGGAGACATTTTCCTTGTCCCTTCTACTGTGGGGCTGCTCCCGACCCCTGGAGGTGGAGCCCAGAGACGCTGTTCCACGCCCGACCATGCACAGCACAGCCCCACGGAGAATCTCCGGCCCCAGACGCCCACAGCACCAAGCGACCTGATGTAGACAAAACCATTGCGACCAGAGCCTGAGTCTTGGCATCCCTGCTCTGAATCACCGCCCTTCCCTCCACACGTGAGACATCAGTATGGACTTTTCCCCGGTGATGGAGCACTACTGAAAGAGGCACTGATCTGGTCTCCAATCCCCGCCACGAGGGGTTCAGCTCTACAAGAAAGCGGGTCATTTCGGTCCTTGGTCCCCCTGATCCAGCCCCAATGGGGGCCCTGAGGCTCGGAGCCCACCTCACGGCCTCGGCCAGGTGTCCCCAGCAGCGGTAGGTGGTCCTAGACAGGTACAGCAGCATGTGGCACTGGGATTTGGGGCCGAAGCTGGTGAGGTAGGTGCAGGGCAGCTCTGTGTTTCCATAGAAAGCTGTAGAGAAAGAGAGAGCAGGTAGCGGGAGATCTTAGCCACTAACGTGCCCTAAATGTGATTCTCAACAGAATTCCAGGGAGCTGGAGCTCCCGGAGAAGGAGGCAGGGTGACCAGATGGTGGTCGGCACCATGCTGGGCACAGTGGCCCCAAATCCCGCTAGAAGTACTGTGTGGGTAGATGCAAATGAACAAAAAAGGAGTCCTGTGTTGTAGTCTGTGGACCTTTCAAAAAAACAACTTATGTCAAAATGGACCAATGGGTGACACCACGACTCTTAGGAAGGAAACAAAGATGGTGGTTCTGCGGGTCCACATGGGATTGAATATCTGGGGTTTGGGGGAGCCCAGAGACAGTGCTGTGCATCCTGCAGGGCACACCGCAGAGGACCAAGGAGAGCCACTCGGCCCAGATGGCCCAGAGCTGAGGACATGGAAGCCCGTCTCACCATGAGAGGGTCCATCTATCTACCCATCTACCTGTCCATCCATCCAATCGTTTCTGTGCTTCTATGTATGAGACCATCTATCCATCTACCATACCTATCTATTCAATTCTGTTCTGTTCCATTCTGTTCTATTCTATTCTACACCTATTGCTAATGTATCTGCTGCAATATATAATCCACTAATCATCTTTCTATCTGCTATTTATCCCCCATCACATATACATCTATTCTCTATATACTTTTCAATCATCTACTTGCCCATATTTAATTATCACGCATATATCTATGTATCTACCCAACATCTTTCCATCATTGGTCCATCCATCATCTATTCATCCATTATCTATCATGTATCTGTTGATCAAGTACTTGTCAGTATACCTATCCATCCATTAATCATCTTTTCATCTCATCCCAATCTGTCCATCTATTATCTACATTTCTATTTTCTATCTACTTACCTATCATCTATCTGTGCCTATTTCTATCATCCATCCACCCACCCATCCACCCATCCATCCATCCATCCACCCATCCATCCATCCACCCACCCATCCACCCATCCATCCATCCATCCACCCATCCATCCACCCACCCACCCA